GTGTGTGTGTGTGTGTGTGTGTGTTTCGTGAGTGGGCTTCCCCTCCCGTGTATCTGTGATGCAGTGGGTCTGGAGGTGTTGCAGTGGCTCTGTGAGGGGCTTGGGGCGTGGGAGCGGGTGGTCTGTCTGTGAATGTGACCTTGTGCCTGGTTCTGGCCACGCCGGTCAGGTGGGTGGCTCTGGCTGTGGCTGTGGGTGCCTGCCTGTCCCTGTTCTGTCTGGTTGACCCTCCCTAATGAAGCAGTCTCCCCCATTGAGCCTGCTGACTGCCAACCCATTCCTTTTGTTTGTTGGCGCTGAGCCATTCAGCAGCACTCTGACAGCTCAGCTCATCTAATTAGCTCTGTTGTTCTTTTTCCCCATGGTTCACCACGTTGCAAGTTCAGTCGAAGTTGCCACAAACGTAATCCCCCCATTTCAGCCACAAGTTCACATTCTTAACCCGCCTTCATTGTAGCAGGGAGCCGCTGGGTGCAGGGACGAGCTGACAGGCCTTAATGTCTGACCTCTCCTGAAGCCCCAGCTGGACCTCCCCAGCGCAGGGGCGGAAGGGCCCCACTGCCCCACCTGCAACTCAGCTTGTGTGGTGACTGTCTGGGGGTCATTCCAGCCAGGTGATCCTGTTTATCAGGGTCAGAGGACTCGGGGAAACCAGTTGGAGGTGGAAGGGTGCCGAGAAACAGCTACCGGTGGATTCAGGCATTCAGCAAACGCTGCCTGAATGTCTGCTGGTGGCAAGCCCTGTTCTGATCACAATGATAAGAATAGTAACGTTTATTTTGTGTTTCTGAGATCTCAAGCAGCAACATTCATTTGTTTGTCAAAACCCTGTTGCGGTGGCCACTGTATACCAGGCACTGTGCTTGGAGCAAGGCCAGCATGAAGTCATCTCTTGCTCAGAGAGACGGCCCCCTCCACACCTTGCCCCTCCCCTCCCTCCTCCCCTCACCCCTGTGCGACCACAGTGAGAGGCTGTCCAGGTCCATGCGAGGTGGGCTGAGCACTGGTTGAGGCCCGGCATCACCCCGTTGGAATACCACAATGAGCTCACAGAAGAGGCAGCCAGGGGGTGGGATGCACTTACTTGGCTCTTACCACATCTCTGTCTTGCCAAACGAGCCTGAGATCAGACTGGCCACTCCAAAGGAAAGAGAAATTGTGGTTAGAGCCGGCGTGTGGAGACCTGCGGGCTTGATGAGATAGATGCTTGGAAGGCCTTGCTCGTAGCCAACTTCTGCAGCCTGGGTTTGTAAACCATTGTGCTATGTTGAATAGGGCCGAGGGTGCAGTTCAGGACGAAGGCCGTCAGGGACAGATGCACGTGTTCTCTCTGACCCTGCCTGGCCCCCGAACACCAGCAATGATAATACTTCCTACTTTGGGCCCCTCGTCTACAGAGAAAAAGCAAGTCTCGTGTCCCCTGTCTCCCCCATCACCACACATATCCTGCGGTGCTTTAGGTCATTTTTATTGGAGATGGAACCCAGATAAACTTTTGGGGTTCCACTCCCCACTCCCATGAGCCCTGCTCTGGGACTGGATCTGGTCGGAGGTGACAATACCAAACTTAAAGTCATGTAAAGCTGGTTGGCCCAGGTGAGTGTGCTCCTAAGACACCTGGAAGTTCTTAGCCTGACTGCCAGCTTATTTCTGGTGAGGGAGGGCGGGGCTGTCTTTCTGCAGCATGGGCCTTCATCTGGGCTTTGAGAGGCGTTAGGCTAGGGAGGCAGCCCATCTTGTCAGCACAGCCTGGGCCGTGGGGCTCAGAAGTTGTACATATTTCACTGTTGAACATGTCCCATGCTTCCCTGATGTGCGAGCTGTACCGCTGAGGGTGGCCCCATGAGCCATGCCATGGCCCAGCTCAGCCCTGCTCCGGAGGACTCCCCCACCCCACCCTGGCAGCTTCCCAGGACACAGAAAGATGCTTTTTACTGGAACCTTCTAATGCCCTTATTGGCTTTTCTTTTTTTATAACCCTCCCCCATTTAAAGAAGAAAACAGGCAGCCTGTGATTCGGGCGTAAAAAGAGCAAAAGAAACGTGTCTGAATCCTAAAAACAAAATCAGAGTGAACCCTGTTTGGGTACCTATTTCTGGGTTCCAGAAGGCAGAGTGAGCGTGTGTCATTGGTGAGGGCCTTTTGTCCTGGGCCCTGTGTAGACATTCCCTCCCTGGCGCCTCACAGAGGCGCAGGGGTGTGGTCCCGAGGTGCAGGTGAGGAGACCAGGCCTTCAGGACCCCTGCCCCGCCTCCAGTGGCGGCTTAGGTTGCCATTGGTGTGGAAATGTGTCCAGGACAAATGGTGATTTTTGTAACCTGTATCTTGAATATCTCCAAACTCCGCTTTTCTGGTCACTGACCCAAATCTTTGGGGCGTTTGCAGACAGTCTTTCCAATTCACTCCTTCTTGGGGGTTTCCCCCATCTCCACTCTAGGTCCGCCCTCCCCGCCCGCATGTCGTTAGGAGACCAAAGAGCAACATCACAGTGGAAGGCCGGAGGACGTCTGTCCCAAGCCCTGAGCAGTGAGTACCACCGGCTCCCTCGCCCTGTCTCGAGAAAGACCCCGAGGCCCAGAGCAGCCATTTCACAGAGCGGCCTCTCCTCTCCGGATCTTCAGTCTTGGTTTCCATTGGTTCCAATTGGCTTGGGGGCTGGAGGGGGCGGGGGGCGGGGGGGGCAGTGGGGTTGAGTGGTGTGGCCCTAAGGGCAGTTTTGCCGGCTCCAGAGACGGTCAGAAGATGCAGAGTCCGCCAGAGAGAGTTAGAACCCTGGTCCAGGAGGAAAGCTGTGGTGGAACGAGACCTGTCACCCACTTCTTAGCCGGCTGGTGTGTGAGGGCTCTGCAGGTCAGGACCACCCTGAGCTCCCAGCCCAGCCCATCAGTACTTGTGGATGCTCTGTGCCATCGCATTGACTTAGTTACTGGCATCCTTCCCCCGAGACCTAGAGCTCCTCAAGGGTGGGCACTGGGTCTTATGTCCAACACCAAGCAGAGGACCCCGCTGAGATAAAGCACTGAGATGTCGGAGAGGTGGGTGATTGAATGAGGCAGGCACGTATGCACTGGCCAGGAGTTGAGCTGCCTGACTGCATCAACTTGACTTGACCCCAGGGCCAGTCTGGAGAAGGTGGCAGTCCTGCCCGCAGAGGAAGTTCCCAGGGAAAGACGGCAAGAGATATAGCAGGTCCCAGCCAGAAAAAGAGCCAAAAGGAAGCAACAGCTCTGAAAGGCAACACTGGGGTATGATCGTGGTTGTGATACTTCTAGCTCTCCCAGAATTCCCTGCTCCACCGCACAGTACTGCTTGAGTGCTATGTCTCCAGAACCAGCTACCCACCAGGCAGCCTCTCAGACTTTGCTGAGGAAGCTCTGGGGTGGGGGTTGGGGTGGAGTGTGTGGGGGGTGGGCATGCTTAGTTTTGCAAAATTCGGAAGAGAAGGCCGCCTGGGGTTGGGTGTCAGTTTAACTTTTGCTCTGCACAATAGGCTGGAGGAAATGTTGAAGGCCAGGCCCTTGGCTGTGGGAACGTGGGCTATGATTGCCCCCTTGTGGAGCAAAGGCTGCACCGCGTCCGCATTCCTCGGGCCCTAAGGATTTCTTAAATGCAGAGAGCTTACAGTAGTGGTTCTCAACTTGTGGGTCGGAACCCCTTTGGAGGCCGAACGACCTTTTCACAGGTGTCACCCAATTCATAACAGTAGCAAAATGACAGCTATGAAGTAGCAAGGAAAATAATTTTATGTTTGGGGGTCACCACAACATGAGGAACTGTCTGAAAGAGTCACGGCACTAGGACGGTTGAGAACCACTGCTTTAAACCCATCTCTCTCAAACTAGAGCACACCCTTTAGACATCACACTGGGATACAAGGTCATGGGCCAGCCTGTGGATACTTGAAACACAAACCCCAGACAGTCCCGCCTTGCACAAAAGTGGCCCCGTCGGTACTCCACATTGTACAAGAGATCAGAGCCCATTTTGTGGCCAGGCTCCCAAGGAGAGACTGTTTCTGTAAACGGGCTCCAGGACGACACTTTATCCTGTGCCTGGAAAGCCAGTGTGTGAAAGTCCCTGTGGCCTGCTTAGGGCCTGTGCTGTGTCCGCCTCCCTCTCCGTTTTCCCTCTGCAGCGTTCATGGTTTTTGCATTTCCATTATGGGATGCTTTGGGGTTCCAGGGAGCTGGTGGAAGCACGGTGCCCAGTGTGCCAGGCTGACACACCTGCTATGGCAGCAAGCAAATGGCAGCATCTCTGTGACTGCACATCACCAATGCTGTGGCCCTGCGTAACTAGAGTTCATTTCGGAATGTCATTCCCAGGATTTCTTGCCTCTTCACATTTTTTTAATGATGGGGGCGGGGTGGAGCGCCCCTCTCCCAGAACGGCCAGAGATACTTCTGGGAGTGTTTTCCCGTGACGACACTTCCCAGGCTGCCCTCTCCCACCCCCATGCCGGGCTCCTCCACTTCCAAATGCCATGTCACCACAACTCTTGGATGTGTTTCTCTCCACTGTCGTCAGCTCCAGCTGGCAGGACCAACTTCTAGAAACACAGGAAGCATCCAGCAGAAAACATTTTAATAAAACAGGCTCCTCGTATAATACCGTCTGGGGCGGAGAGACCCCAGCTCCAGCAATCGGTCGGCGTTGTGTTGGGAGACTGGAGAAGACCAGCTGGCAGACAGCGCCTGGCCGAGGAGTTGGTTCCGGTGCCGGAGCTTTCAATGGACCTGTGTTCCCCAGACCCACAAAGCGAGTGCCAGCGTCAGGGTTAAGGGATCTTCCAACTTAAGGAAAAAGATTCCATCTTCCTGAATTCTTGCTCCAAATCTCTGTCCAAAATGCACATTCAATAATTCGCTTGTGGCTCGCAAGGCAGAGCTGGTCAGAAGTAGGATGGTTTCACTGGCTTCACACTCAGGGCCCCCTCAAGACCACCAGCTCTCCAACCAGTTCACCCTGAAGCTCCTGCCTTCCTTTCCACCCCATGTCCAGCCACCCATGGACCCATCTGTCCGTCTCTCCAAGCATCCATTCATTCCGGAAAGATTTTTGAAAAGCTGCCGGCGGGCGGCACATGGGATTTTTGAAAGGGAGGCCCCGGGGCCGAGGCTTTTGTTAGCTTGAACTTGCCAAAGCGAAATTTTCCCACGTCCATTTCCCTCCCTGAATCCGAGTCAGCTCTCTAACCTATTGAAACCATGTGCCTGCGACTGGAAGAACACATCAGAACGAGTTCTAGGAAAACATGCCCTCTGTTTTACTGCGAGCATTAGCTGATTAATATTCTGTTTCTATTGCTCTCTGGAAGTATTAGCTACTCCCGTTGTCATTCAGAACAAGACCCATGGAATGCCTGAGGGATTCCCCTGCGTAAGAATTAGGGTTAGGAGGGTGGGCAGGAGGGGCTGTAGGTTAGAGGCCCGTTGGTAGGCAGTGCAATTGAGCGTCCCTTATGTCCTGGGTCCATTTAAATTGGCATTCCACAGTGTAGGAACTTGGGCTCAGAAAAATGTATTGATAAGCCCCCCACCTCCCCTCCCAGGTCACCCACTTAGAAAGTGGCAGGGGTCAGGATTCAGCATTCTTCTTGATTCTGCATTCTATTCTCTCTCAGACCTTGCCGCCCTCACTGGAACAGGCCCTTTGGGGGTCCACCTTAATTCTGGCTTTGCCTTGAGAGACAGCTTTGTGTCCTCAGATGACTTGCTCGATCCCACCACCCCACCCCCAGCCCCCTCTCACCTTTCCCTGGAGCTGGGAACCAGCACAGTTCAGCCCTCTTCCTGGTGTCCAGGGCCTTCCAGTTGGGGAAGGAAATGGGAGCAGCATTTCCTGAGCATCCTTTAAGTGCCCTTATTTCCTCGCAGCGAGCTCATGCAAGTCGGGAGGGAGGCGGCTAGCCCTTTTAACAGATGGAGAAACCGGGCTCAGAGCAAGGCTGCATTGACTTGCCCAAGGTCTCAGCATTAGAAAACAGTAGACTCCACCGTGACCCCCACTTTCCCATGTCAGCAGCCTCACCCTCTCTTCCACATCATTCGGGGTTTGTGCTAAGAACCTAATTATGATGCTGCATGCCTCTGGACGGTGAGCAGCGGCCCCCCACAGTGTGTGTGTGTGTGTGTGTGTGTGTGTGTGTGTCTGTGGTGAGGTTGCCGCTTCCTGCCCATTTCACGTGGGCCCTGGTTTGTTTTCAGCCGCAGCGTGTGCAGGGCCACCAGGCCCCAAGTCATTTTCCTCTTTGCTGGTCTGTCACCAGGGGGATTTCCCATCCAATTGGATTCTGAGAAAGAGACAATAAAACCAGCTGCCATCCTGCCTCCTCGCGGCTAAGGTGCATCCTGGCCGTATTCTCCCAAGACAGACAGGCTTGCAATGAGCTGAAGCCTACTCGATAGCACCTAACAACAAAAGCTGGCATGTCATTTCCAATTCACGGGAACTCCATGTGTGTCAGGGTAGAACTGTGTCCCAAAGGCCTTTCTCCCAGTTCCTCTGCAGGGACTCAAACTTCCAACCTCTTGGTTAGCAGCTGAGCATGTGAACCATTTGCACCACCCAAGGACTAGCAAAAGACAATAGGGAGCTCTAAAAAAGCCGCATTGTCATCAGCACTGCTGGTCCTCCCCCCACTGCAGACCCTCACGCTCGGCAGACTGCAGCCCATGACATGCGGCTACTGCCGTGCTTCATCATCTCAGCCACCAAGAGGCCTGGGGTCGTCCAAGGCTCCGTGGCTAAAGGCCTTGCAGCACTGGGATATCCAAGATGGGCTTGGCCCACTGCTCCCCTGTAGGGGAGACAGAACACCCTAGATATCTGGGAGGCTTCACTGTACTCAGTAAGAAGGGTCCCAATGCATGCACCAGGGGGGCCTCAAGCCAGTGTCCTGCTTACCTCTGGTCAGACCCCTCCGAAACTCTGCTCCTGGTAAATAATCTTGTCTATGTGTAAAGTGGATCCAGGAGCCTTGAAGATGAGGTGGACGTGGAGGGAAAGAGACAAGTCCCCGCTGTGTTTCATAGAAGCGATGATGGCTAGGCTCTGCCGGGCTGCCGTGGCCCTTAGCCACACGCGAGTTACTGCCCTCGCTCAGCCCCAGAGGGCCCTTCAACACCACAGCCCTGGGTAGATTCAGGTATTTCAGGACAATTCCACACAACGCAGCTTCCTGCAATATTGGATCATAGGGTTCCCCCACCCCGTCTTTGTAACTCTCAGTGTGAATGTGTGGGTGAATGCGCTCTACCCAACCTTGTCCCCGCATAATAGATCTTTAGATTATTTCCAGAAAATGCCAGGGTAAATATCCTTGTTCTTGAATGGCCCTCTCTCTTACTTTCTTTCTCTCCCTCCCTCCCTCCTTCCCTCTTTCCTTTCATGTGATTGGAAGAAATAGGATGATTAGCAACTACCAGTAACCAGCATGCTGAGTACTTTACAGACTGCTCCATTGCATGCTCTCAGCAGATCTGTGGGCACAGGTGTGACAAGCCCTGTTGTATAGAAGAGGTAAC